CGAGGCCCGTCAAACCGGAACCCTAACCTCGTTGGCCGACTGCCACCTAGACTCCCTGGCCGCACCCACCAACCATCTCCTACTCCTCCAGTCACTCCATCCCACCCGGTCTACCCACCTCCCGAAATATCCCACTCCTGGTCCTCAACATCACTTACGCCACACTACTGCCTTCGGTCACCTTTATCACTGTTGACTTCGTGTAGGTATAGGCTCTGTTTCTCAACATTAAGGAGAGGAAATCAAATTTCGTGTACCTCTGGACACCTACTATTACTTTGGAGAGCTCCTTCACCAACGCGAGGTGAAGGACGACGCCTCCACCTTAGTCCCCTCCGCGTCGTCCTTTCACTTCAATTGCCTAAATAAGGTTGTTGAGTCGCGACGGTCGTCTAATATGAGACCTATGTGTAGTAATTGGAGTGCTCCTCTCCGGCGGGAGTTTTCTGTTGACAGTGTAACGATGTGGTGTAGTGTGTCGTGTGTGTGTGTGTGTGTTTGTGTAGTTTGTGTGTGTGGTTGTGTGTGTGTGTGTGTGTGTGTGTGGTGTGTGTGTGTTTGTGTGGTGTTGTGTGTGTGTGTTGGTGTGTGCTAGTGGTTGTGTGTGTGTTGTGTAGTGTGTGTGTAGTGTGCGTGTGGGTGTCCTGTGTCGTACACGTAGATGTTTCAAATACAGTTTACATTCTACAAAGAAACCCGTCGTCGTTCGACAAGATATTTCACTACTTCTACCTGTCAAAAGAATGTCCCGACACGAGGATATTTTGTAGGGCTGTCTTCGTTTGTATTGTACTTGTAGTCCCACTACCACAGCCGACGTCAATGAAAATTCAAATGACGCACTACACACTCTTCGCGTACTAAACCAAAAGATTCGGGGATGGTCAAAAATTTGTTCTATCAACAACAACTTACGAACAGATTACCTCCGAAACCTTTCACGAAGTTTTGGCAGTCTAAAACTAACTTAGTACGTGAAATAACCATAACAAATTTGTAAATTTCATTGAGAGTTTTAAACCTAGACATCAACAAACCTCTTTGTTCTCCACGTGTCACTGACGACAGGATTCTCTGGACCTACTCATCCGCACAGCGTACCCGAGGAGGCTTTAGAAAAGCTCTATATTGCGATATCCTAGTTCATCATTAAGATCAGCTAATCTAAATACCTGAGCTTTTACTCAATTTCAGCCCAATCTGTACCCCTCTAATAGGCCGACTTGTTTGCAACTTAGGCAGAGAATTTACACAAGTTGGTGTCTGGAATAAAGGTCGACAAAAGGTTTTAGGATACCTCTTTGACCAAACGCAAAAACCAGCTTCCTTGGGTCTTCCTCAAATGAGGCACCAAAATCTGCGCCAACCGAGCGCCCGGAGAGATCGTCTTGAAATAAATTTTTCGACAATACTTCATTTTGTTATTTTCTCAACAAGGCACCAATTAAGAAATTTAAAAGAGAAGGACGTCCTTGAGTAGCCTACCGGCGAACGTCGAGGTTGGAGCCCCCCTCCTCCTCCTCCGTCTCCTCCCGCCCTCCGAACTACTTTCTCCCTCCTCAATACCCCCTCTTCTCCCCCGCCTCAGAGCTCTCTTGCCCCGCAACACTGCGTACGTAAAGGGCTCTCAGGCCCGCGAGTCCCCCACACGGGACGTTACCCCTTTCACGGCCAACGTACCTGACCGGAGGTGGCATCGTACACTGGGATCTCGCCCCAGAGGAATACACCTGCTCTTGTGAGGACGGCACAGACGGACACCCCACTCCTTTTTTTCCACATCATTTCCAACCTAATCCCCAAGCGATTTTTTGGACCACAAAGCGGGTTTCGACAGTGCAGGAACGTTGGTGAACGTCAGTGAATCAAATTTCATTTCAAAATTTTCAGAATAAAACTAATGGCCATATGGTTGCGAGAAGGTGGAACTCCTGAGCACAATGACTCAATTTCACGTCTCGTCAATAGGCTGAGTTTCCTTGTTCGTTTGATAAAATTAAAATCAGCTTTATTATAACTAAAAAAATTACTCTAATATAACTCTATAAAGAAGTTAGGACAATTTAGGAAAAAACGCTTAAGGTGTAAAAGTCGCAGTGTGGTCCAATGACTAAAATTCGATAGAAGAGGAGATTTATAATAATCGTCGAAAATGTCTAAGTCTTAATTGATTATGTTGTATATTTAGGTGACCATTTATGTAATCAAACATATGTTAATATGAATTCTTATAGGTTTTCGCTCCATATAGATACTGTATATATATTTATTACTTCATCTCTTTTTTGTGTGATGTGGGTCTTTATCGATATTTTTTTTGTACTATAATATGTCGTTCATTATTTTTGTTCTGGGATGAGGCGCTTACAGTACTTATGACGCATAGTTGAAAGGCGGTAAATTGATCTACTATCGGCCTCGCCAGTCCAAACTCTGGCTCGTTTGTGCTCTCTCCCTTCGTCACAACCACCACGCCCACACAAAACGGGCAGCGACGTACGGCCCAGCGCTGTTGTCTCTAGATGTCACTTAGTTTCTACTTGAGGGGCCCACTTTAATTTTATTGGCTAAGTTGGACAAATGTTTAAAGATACCGAACTCGTTCCAAGTCCGTGAAATTTGTTTCTTATAGTCTCACTCCCTACTAGATCTACGCAGGTCTAAGGTCGCTCGTCGACCTTCGGGCCTTCGCGAAGCTCTGGAGTCCCTCCCCCAGACCTCCGTGAGTCTGAGTCCCTCACCCTGTTCCAGTCCCGTCTCAAAACCCACCTCTTCAACTCTGCTTATCCTTAAACCCGCCCCTCCCCCCTCTGAACCAACATCCTCCTGACTTTTCTGTTTTTGTTTTGTTTTTGTTTTTGTTTGTGTTTTTGTTCTTGTTTTGTTTGTCGACCTGACTCATAATGTGAAGCGTCTTTGGGTCTAAAAAAGCGCTATATAAATCCCATTTATTATTATTATTATTATTATTTAAATAGTTATTAGCAAAAATCGACACGGCTGTGACATGTCTCCATTGATGTTCAGAAAGCTCTTTATTCTTCTCATACTGTCTGTGCTGCAGCACCTCTTCTCACCCTCTGTCTGAAACCAGAGCACAGTCTGCTCTGATTGGTTAGCTGGCCTGCTCTGTTGTGATTGGTCAACAGCTTAGAGATGTCCCGCCCCTTTAGACTATTACGTACAATGTGTTGGAACACTAGCCAATAGGAGAGCGAGTGTTACATAGTGATGTCACTATGTTCCAGAAGTAAACAAAGGAGTCCAATGGAGGCGTGTCAGGTGGGAGGGGGGGAATTGTCAGACTTCATGTTATTATAAAGTAAAAACCCGCCCTCCACTTTATAACATAATACACTATAGTTTGCCATATTCCTAATATATGTCTTTTACCCACTTTGCAACTTTTTTTTTTCTTCTGTTCACACCACCAGATACCAAAGCAGATTCCTTGTATGTGTAAACGTACCTGGCAATAACGATAAAGATAAGATGAGATAAGATAAATATAAGATCGGAAGTACTTGATCCCAATTTGTGAAATGTTAGCGTTGCAGCAGCATAAAGACATGGCATTGTACAATAACAATGAAAAGACTAGAAATAAACAAGAAAGTAGAAAATATACATGTTGAGTTACAAAATGTACAATAACAAATATAAGGCAAGTTATTATATATACATAAGTATGTGAGGCATGGAATATTAAATATTAAATTGAATATAAATGAAGTGTAAGTGATTTTAGGTCCAAGAGAAGCTTTGGAGCAGAGAGTCCTCTCCAGCCCGAGGTGATTTGTTATAGAGTTATTGCAGTGGAATGTTTTCCTGTATCTGTCCTTGTGACTTTATTCTCATTCTAATAATTCATAATGCCCCTCAAACCATGCGTTTACTGCCACTATTAGAGCAGGAGAAGAAGAAGCCGGATGTAAACAAGTCAGGTCCGAAGTCTCTGGTTATGGCTCGAAAGGATCCGTCTTGTGTAAAACTCTCGCGAGAGTTTGCAAGTCACGTGGCTGAATGTTTACGTTTGGCATGCAGCCTTTCAGTTACGATCGTTAGCATCAGTGGGCCACAGCAAATGATGCTGAGAAGCTAAACTATCTATTAATTATGTAAAGGATTTCCTTGTGACTTGATTCTGATTCTGATAAGTCGTGTTGAGTGCTCACCTTCATCCGGCGGGACTCGATGCGGGACTTGTAGCAGAACTCGACCAGCGCCACCAGCATGGCGAGGCCCAGTCCTCCAATCAGGATGTAGAACACGCCGGCCACGTTGCTCAGACTGAGCGCGCTCGTCTTGTCCTATCAGAGCAGGGGTCGGGATCAGGGAGAGAGCCAATCAGGGTGCAGATAGAAATGACATCATCAAAATCCCCCCAAAGATAAAAACTAATACTAACTTTTCTAATAAAAATAAAACCCAAAATGATCTTTCAAAGGCTGTGATGAAGAGGCTTTAGAGACACGGATCGCTAAAGGGAGACTCCGCTCATTTTACACGTGATTTTATTTGATATTTTATTACATTCAAGTTATATACAATTATTAATCATCTTTCCTTGCAATATGATGACACCTTAGAGGTTCTTAAGCAACAACTATAGTACACATAATGTACATAATAATAAGTATACACTACTCCTACTACTACTACTAATAATTAAATGTATTCTAGTGTTACTGACTACAATTCCCAATGTGCACTTTAGCAAAAAACATCCACTCAGAGAGCTTTAAATTCTGTTAGGTGTGCTGCTAAATGCTCAACGAAATTATTTTTTATTCCACGACAACATTTTTGGAGAGGCTCTTTGTCCGTGCAAACAGGAAGCAGAGACTCATGGGTAATGTAGTATTAAGATCAGTTTGTGAAGTGTGTGAATCGTCTTTATTGCCTCAAATCACAGCCGTTGACAAACCGTATATCTATTTCATACAAGCAACTTCATGCACAAAAATGCAAAGTGAGGGGAAACAAAGAAAAAAAACATATCGACTTTTACTGTTAATGTTTTGTCTTAAAGAAAAGTAACTTATCTACCAGTTGCCATTATCATCACATTGTATAATACATACCTTCTGTCTAATCAATATATCAAAAAAACTAAAGTTAACTCTAAAATCCTTCTTTATAAACTGGGATTTTGTTGTTCTTTAGTTTCTGGTTGTTTTTCTGCATCATGCGTCACGTGTTGTTGTGGGCGGGACTTAGCCCCTCTCATCCAATAGCATGCAGTCTGTTAAAAAAGAGGCGGATACAGCACTCAAAGTGGGCGGGGCCTCTCTTCAACAGGAAGTGATGGGGAGTTGGGGAGAACCTATCAGAGAGCTTTCCTCTCCAAACTGTCATGTTTAGCCTCAACCAATCAGGACTGTCAAATTATACTAACAGACGGTTCAAAGTCAGACTGAAATTCAAACTTTTTTTAATAATCAAGGCAGCTCAAAACACATTTCCAGAGCAAAGCTTTAATTACTTCTGTGGTAGTTTTCTGTAGTTTACTTTCTGTATTTACTTTCTGTATTTTACTTTCTGTATTTACTTTCTGTATTTACTTTCTGTAGTATCATTTTTGGAAATTACTGATATTATTTACTTTTTGATAATTTACTTTCTAAAGGTTTCCTGTACATATCTTTTTTGTAGCTTCTTTTATAAAGACATATTATATGTTATTCCTTTATTATAACATCGGCACTTTTCAGAATGTTCATGTCTTTACAGAAGCATTGTTGGCAGAAGCCCGAGAACAAGACTTTTATTTCCAACGACTGTCATTTTTTGTGTAAGACAAATTAAAATCTGGAAAGCCTCGATTGTCAACATTTTACAATTTAAAAGTAAATCAGCAACAGGGAGAAAAAGATAACGTTAATTTGGTGTTTTCTTGACAGCAGCTTGTTAGAGACGGGCTGCCGCACAGCCAGTTCAGAAACAGGAGGTACAGTACATGACAGATTGGAGACAAAAGTGTGTGTGTGAGAGTGTGTGTGAGGGGAGGAAGAGGAGGGGAGGTAAAGCTGTGGTCTGTAGCTTCAGTCTCATCAAGTGTTGGTGAGCAGCCACCGGCAGACAGAGAGTCAGGGAAATATATTTGCATTTTTAAATCTGACTTTTTACATCTGACGTGAATGTAAAATACATCTGGAGCTTCTCTTCTCGACCAGATTGTGACGCAGATTGGCTTCTCTCGAATAAAAAACTCTTCTGAAAACTTTTCTCCAATCTCCAGGATGCAGGCTGATCTTAAATGTAAAATACATTATAAGCATGCTTACAAAGGAAGTTGTGATTAAAAGTGTTGTAAAAAGTCACATTTTCCAGCATGGTCTGTCTGTCTGCCCGTGGCTGACACAGTGCTGGCCACAGAATATTCTGGAGAACAGAAGGAAAGCTGAGCAGAGAAAAGCCTCTGAAGGAATCTGAAGTGCAGACATGAAAACCTCTTATCTCGGAGAACGTCTGTCAGAAGGAGCTGAAGCTCATTTTCTCATCAATTTGCAGAGTTTTATCTGAGGGTTTACGCAGAGTCTAGAAGGAGCAAAGTTCATAAACTGAACTCGGGTTCAAGTACACATTGAAATCAGGAGGTTTTCACATGTTATCAGAATAGTTAATGTTTGATTGGGTTTTCCTCCAGCTCTTCAGAAGGGTCAGCTGAGCCGCAGTGTTACACTCTAAAAACAAAACGTTTTTCAACAAAACAACGTTCACTAATTGTAATCGCAAAGCGAGAGTTTTGTGCGACCCGGAACGGAATTTAAGTTCTGAATCTGAATTAGCATTTTAAACTTCGGTACACATTCTTATTTTCTACTTTATACTCAAGTGTTAGACTTCCAAAGTAAATATGATGCAACCCAGGCCAGACCCCAGGCATTACAGATATTTTACAAATTGGACGTCTTATCCATTTAGGGTTCAACAATTATCTTTAAATGGGCTCTTCTGGGACCTTTGGGTCATCTGTTGCTTTTATTCATGTTGACGGCATGATGCTACCAGCAGTTAGCTTAGCACAAAGGCTGGAAACAGGGGGGAACTGCTAGCCTGAATCTGTCCAAATGTAACGAAGTGTTACAGGTTTTAACAGCTGTCACGCCTCAAAAAGCTGACTGTGTGTTTGAGTATCTGAAGTTACAAATCTTAAAGAGCTCCTTAACATCAGCCTGAAGAGTTGTGTCGAACTGGCTTCTCTGGTCAAAGATCTTGAAAATACTGAAACTGTTCCGATTAAGTACAAAATAAAAATTCAACACGTACAAATATCCGTCTAGATAGAGGAATGTTGGACTTTTTACACTTTCTAGCGGCAGATCTTTTAAATAAAAGGGTCTGCCAACTAACAGGATCCGTACAACTCATAGAAACTAGAATTGCATCTAAATAACTGACTTGGACCAAAATAACATCAAATTAGCACGAAAAAGAAAGTTAAAACCGGTGAAAAACGTTTTATTTTCAGAGTGTATTTGCTGAAGTTGGGTTTTTTTGGGGGTGTGGGTCTGAAGGGGTAAGGTGGGTGGGGGGGTAAACCAACACATGACCTCAGGACCAGGCCGAGCATCCTCCAGAACTGACCTTTCTGCCGGAGTCCTTGTGTCCACACTCCCCTTTGTCATACCACCATTTGTTTTTCAACTTGTCTAAGATGGCTTGTTCATTGAGCTTCAGTACTGCTAGGTTTACTGGGATTCTTCAAAGAACCAATGGAGGAAGTGAGGGGGAGGGAGGGGGTGGAAATAACATAAATAACATTATGCACCTCCATGTTATCTTATGTTATTGTTAAAGAGCTGCGGCGGCTACAGCAGCACTAAAGATCTTATCAAAAACTGGCATTTTCAGTACAGATGTTTCGGTACGCTACAGAGAACACCTCAACAACAACAACAGAAAGAAAAACAAAGAACATCACACATAAAACTTCTCTTGGTAAATGTCAGCGTAAAAGTGATATGCGTTAATACTCCATCTAGCTTGGTTTGGCCTGACTCCCTACGTGCGAGATGTGTATTACTATATCACTTTGGGTAACCGGCAAGAGCTGAAAACACTCCGGGAAACTAAATCAGCCCGCTGGCCGAAAACAGGAAACATGTCCTCTGTATTTTGTGAAAGAGAGACGTTTAAGGACGGCTGTAGTTTCACTTTTGGGCGGATGAAGTCAAAACTGTCCGAATACAAGGAAGTGGCTTCAGAGGATGATCAGAGGGGGTGTTTTACAAAGTGAGCTCATGTACCATGTCAGCTTTTATTCATTTATAGACTTTGCTGTACAAATACTATTTTATATTATACATTTGAAATATACTAGGAGGCTTGTGGCGCAGTGGGTTGTGCGTTAGTGTTGGGATCAGGGGGACATAGGTTCAAACCCCACTGCAGTCAGCATGTCGTTGCGTCCCTGGGCAAGACACTTTGCTCCTAGGGATTGTCCACAGTATTGAGTATGTAAGTTGCTTTGGATAAAAGTGTCTAACATTTAATGTAATGTAAAAGAACACTCAATATTTACAAAAAAACACAAAATAACTGTTTACTTCAAGTAAGCAGGATATATATAAAAAAAGATGATTTACAAAGTGTGCAAATGAGAGTGCAAAAATGTCCATAGCAGCGTAAAAGTGACTGGGAAGCATAGCAACTGAAACCAGCTCTAACTATAGGTTGAAAATGAGAAAAATAAAAAGTAAAGACATGACATCGGCCCTTTCTCATTTCACTAATTACCCCTCCTCGACTCCTCCGCTCGCATCTCCTGTGGGCGGGACTAAGACACGAGGATAGGAGTCGAGGAGGGGAGTCGAGGAGGGGAGTTAGAGAAATGAGAAAGGGCCATAGAGGACTTATATTATTCTCTGCATATAAAACTCTGGAAATCAGTTAGACTTTTTATTTATCCTGTTGGTTTCATGTTCTGAAAATGCCTGAAAGTCAATGTTTGCTCAAATTGTGAAACAGCGTCTCAGATAAACTTTCGTTTTTTTCCGAGCTGGTTCAGGGGGAGGTCAGTAGTGACTGAGGAGGCTGACCTCTACCCAGCAGCGTGATGAAGAACTTCCCACTGACTCAGTCACAGAGAACACTTTCTTTCCAATTTAATTACACAAGGTGCTCCGTCCTCAGGTCTAATCTCCTGGTTCCCAGCAGCTGCTCTCAAACACTTTTCTATGTGTTCCCATACCACAAATTAGGAAAATGTAAAAGTAGCAGATGTACGAAATGGCCTGGCGGAGCTCGAGTAAAAGTGAACCAGAGCTGCATTAAAGGCAAATAGAAAAACCAGGCTTGGATGTTGTGTTGAGTTACAAAAAGGGGAAGGAAGGAGAGAACAAGACCATAGAGGAAAAGAGAGAAGGAGCGAGGAAAAGAGAGAAGGAAAGATCTTGAAAAGCCAGCTGTATGGCGTGGTTTTGAATTCAGCTGTCAGTCTTCTGTCATCTCGGAGTATCTCTTCCCCTTTTCCTTCACCACTCCCTCTTTGCTCTCATCTCCCCCTCTTTCTTGCTGGTGTCAAAAGAGGTCGATGTACAGTACACGCTTCTTCATGGAGGCGTGTGGCGCAGTGGGTTGTGCGTTAGTGTTGGGATCAGGGGGTCACAGGTTCAAACCCCACTGCAGTCAGCATGTCGTTGTGTCCCTGAGACACTTCACCCCAAATTGCTCCTGTGGGGATTGCCCGCTGTATTGAGTACGTAAATCGCTTTGGATAAAAGCTTCTAACAGGTGACATGTGATGTAATGTAATACCTGAATCTGGTTAAAAGTTAAGAAATTACTATTTTAAAAATGACAATTGTATGAAAAGCGATCATGTTGAACATCTGCTCCACATTTTCTTGGTTAACATGTAACGTGTAAATCTGCATTAAAGGACTCTAAAGGTAATCCTGTTTCCGATGTGAATCTTTCTACGTGTTTGTCTGTAAAACACTCCCTGGATCAGAAGCTGGGAAGTCTCCAACAAGGTGAATAAACCTGATGGATGCAGACTTTCTACAACGGTTTGTTTTCTGTGGGGCCGTCCGGAGTGTTTTACGCCTGGTGTTTTAGCGGTGGGTTGTTGCCGGTTACCCCGGTGTGGCATTGCCTGTCGTTACCCGTTGGGGTTACGGTGATCTGACCTTGGAGTCCCCTCCCCCGGTGCCGCACTCTCCCTTGTCATACCACCATCTGTTTTTCAATTTGTCCAACAGGCCCTGTTCGTTCAGTTTTAAAACTGCCAAGTTAACAGGGTTTCTACGGGGATGATGGTGATGGGGGATAGAAGGGAACTACGTGTTAATGAACAGAGGACTGCCATAGTGAAGCAACATCAGTACAGGAGTCTACTTACGACAGTCATGGTAATATCTTATCTTAAAGTTAGCACTGCTCTTCAACCCAGACTTTGGTCAAATGCTGTTTCCCTTCTGTTTGAAGTTCTATATAATGTTAGTGTTAAAGACTCACTGGGCTTGAACACTATCCGTGCCAGGAGCATTCAGGCGTCCGAAGAACAGATTCAATCTTCTTTTTCTAAGTGGCAAAGCTCACAGACAATAGTTGTATAGGTTTACCAAAAGCATTCGTCAACTTCATTTCCATTTTGGTGTCCAGACAGTTTGAAATCCAAATGTTATTGAGATCACAAATGGTCTAAAGATAAAACGAATATGTGTTTATTCACTAAGAGACAGATGTTACCGTAAAAGACCAACTGCTCACCAGGAGAGTAACACCTGTTGCCCATGCCAGGTATGAAATAAGGGTTCAGATTATTGCCCAAGGAAACTACGATCCTGAAGGGACTAAGGATCCTACCACCGACCCTCTGATTGGTAGATCACTGCCAATCAAGAGCACCAAACACTGTATTCACCATTTATAAGAAACGACTTCCCCGTGAATGAAAACACCATTATGTGTTACAAGAACCGTGGCATTATTTCACTTTCTGATTGCTTCATTCAAGATTCAATTTGGTTTAGGATCCAAATTCTTTAACAGGTTGGTCTAAATCTTCAATTGACTGTTTGCCTAAAGTGTTCTGGTCCGATGAACGTTGTCTACCAATCTGAGCCTTAACTGGATACGATTCACCGTTCTATATAACTTTCATTAAGAGCCATGTTTTCACTCCAGCATCAGGGTCCTCGTGGTGACGATGACACTGAGATATTTTGTAATTATTTCAATTTTCAATGCAATCTTGGTTCTGACCAAATGAAGAAATTGGACTATGGTTAAAAGCAACTACAGATAATTTTGGTACCAAGTTGCAGTAATAATTCAGAAAACATTGTTACTTACAAGGTGGTACTCAATGGTGTCAACAGAAAATCGGTTTTTGCAACTCAAAATGTACGCGATCAGGGGACTATTTGTTCCCTGATGAAGCAATTAACATCAGCATTTGGAGTGCTAATATTTACAGCTGTAAATCAAGTCAGAAATGAGAAATAGGCGAGGGTAAATAACGTCAACATGATGGATATATTTGCTCCGCTGGTTTGTGTTGAGCCTAATCGGCTGTACCAGAAGGTTCCTCATGTTCAACACAGCTGAAGGAAAACAACATTTCATTATGGTCTGGGTTGAAGAACAGCGAATGCATCCTACACTTTACTACCGGCAGCAATCCTCGACTTAGAATACATTCATGACCTGATCAATAAAAAGGAACAACAGTCACATGTTTGATAATAAGTAACAAGTGGAACATAGAATAATATTCTTAATGTGCTTCACAGTTTAGTATTCTGTACATTATACATTAACACACGGTTCTCGTTGTTCCCCTTTAAATACCAGTGGTGAGAAAAGCTCAAGAGGCAGACGGTAGCAGAGATGTTTTTAAAGAAACATGAATTAATAGAATGATTATTGACAGGCCAACCAGTAAATGGACGACAACAATACAATTATTATGATGACGGCCAAAAGAAGAGTTTTGTTCTAAAGGGATTCTGTTACATATTTTTTGTAATCAATCAATCCGAAATGGTAACGTCATTTTGGAACAAAAGGTCTCCGAACGATAGAATTGTAGAAATGGTGTTTCAAAGGGGAACTTCTGGATGTTTCAACCTGGACCCTTTTTTCCCAACGTTTTTGTTTCTAAGTAAGAAAAGTGTTCAGTATTGAGCGAGAGCACTACAGCTGCTAAACAGGCGCTAATGTAATCCTTCGTACGTTTACTCACGTTTGTTTTCCTCAGATTGTTTTCCTCAGATTGTTTAAGGGCTGTTCCATAATTACAGGAGAATTTAGACAAAAAAACGTTTGAAAAATGAACCCTTTATTTTAAAAAGTTCTGTTATGTATTTGAGAAAAAACAGGTAGTAAACCATTACAAATAATTGATTTGGCTAGCTCGGGTATTCATGGTCAACTTTTGTTTTGTTTACTTTAGTGAGATGTTAGACTAAAACAAAGTTATTTTTATACTTTTTAATTATACGTGAACATTTAATTTGGCTAAAGATAAAACATTGAACTGCAGAAACTAAAACCCTGTAACGGTAATTACTCCATAACAGTAACAGGGTTACAAATCAATGCTAATGTTAGCCTTCACCTCAGGAATCAGTGAAGAAGTCTGAAACATGCAATACTCCACATGTTGTCAGCAATGACGTGTACAATATTTCAGATTACTTTACGACAAACTGTGACAACACTGGCGCAGATCGACTCTCCTACTATCTTTCAGGAGAGACGTGATTCATTTCTCTGTAGGCTCTTTCCATAACATTGTCAGAGCCGGAGGCAAAATCAAACCCTTTAACGTGACGTACATTATATGAAGGATTTCATTCCCGTCTGTGTTCTCTCTCAACACTGTGTTGGAGGGTTGATTCCTACCAGAGCTCCCCTTTTAGTGTGAGCAGAGCTGATGGCAGCAGCAGAGCTGAGTGTGATGGAGTTAGTCAGCGGAGACGATGGAGCTGTTGACTGGACACGGTCAGCTGTTAGCACGGAGACGAACCCAGAGGCAGAGAACAGAGTCTGTTCAGATGGAACTAGTGATCTGTGTAACGCTGATTATCCAATATGCTCAGCATTAGGGGCTTTAACTCAAATGTGTTGCTAGGCAACTGCTCAAAAATACTGGTGAGTAACTTTCTGATTTACAATCTGCCATCAGAAACCCTTCACTTCCTTTCAACAAACCAAAACACATTTGACAGCGAAGGCAGAAAGCCAATTTGCTGGGTTCTGTTTTGCTACGCTGATTGATATTGCTGGCCTACTAATTACATAACATACGTTATTATTATTATATTCAGCATTTACTAATCTCATCTGTGGAGCTCATCTCCGTTCTCCGGCTCTGGGTTGTCTGTAAAATGCTGACGTGAAGCAGAAAGAAAGAGGACAAGACGTTCTGATGAAGCGTGGACAGAGAAGGAACATGAAACGCTGCTTTCAGATAAACATGTCAAAAGAAACTTGATTATATTAATGTTGTAACCGGGGTAAGACGTTTGGTTTCGCTCAATTGAAAAGCTAGCGTTCAGAGACCAACGACTTTATAACTGAATGTCTACACCAATGGGAAAGAAGATCCTTCATCGTCAATTTGCATTGAATTATTCCGTCAACTGTGGTCTTTGTATGTGAACGAAATACGGTCTAAATGAGCATCTGCAGTGTCTTGAACCACACCAAAAACATATACAACAATATATTTATGAATTTCCCTTTTTGGGCAAAATGTGGTTGGACTAATTTCCTCTGGTGTTACTAAATGTTCTGTAGGGCTTTACAACATGGCTGCTGTGTTGTTGCTGATTCACTTTTGCTACCGTTGTTTTGTGTGTGGTCTCTGCTGGGCATTGGTCCTGCGCTGCTTAAGGGACGATTCTTTCCAACCAGTCAGGATTTTGCAGTGTTTGAGCTGTACCTTGTACTACAACCACTTGTTCCAGATTTGACTCCGGAGAGGAGATTTTCCGGTTGAGGTTTGGTTAGTCGGCAGCATTACAGAATTATTGCTGGCCCACTTTTAATGAAACTTGGTGGACGGGTGTAACAAGGGTCGAGGAAGAATCCAATTAAAGTCACTGAATAAAAGGGCCTTAGCAAATTTGATTCAGTACAAATTCTTATTTAACGACGATTCGACACATTTATAAATAATACACATTTTATCTGACAGCAGCAATGCTCATGTAGGGATGAATGGAGAGATAGACAGATAGATAGACAGATAGATGGAGAGATAGAAAGATATATAGATGGATAGATATATAGATAGATAGATAGATAGATAGATAGATAGATAGATAGATAGATAGATAGATAGACAGATAGATAGATAGATAGATAGATAGATAGATAGATAGATAGATGATAGATAGATAGAGATAGATAGATGATAGATAGATAGATAGATAGATAGATAGATAGATAGATAGATAGATAGATAGATAGATAGATAGATAGATAGATAGATAGATAGATAGATAGATAGATAGATAGATAGATAGATAGATAGATAGATAGATAGATAGATAGATAGATAGATAGATAGATAGATAGATAGATGGATAGATAGATAGACAGATAGATAGACAGACAGATAGACAGTTTGTTGTGCTGTTGTTAGCAGTCAGACAAGCACAACTGATGACCACAGACAGGTAGACGGGCCGACAGACAGACAGAAACACTGAGACAGACAGAGAGACACACATACAGACAAAGACAAACACAAAAGAGAGAGAGACAAGACAGACAGAGAGACAGATTAAGAGACTGACAGTCAGACAGACAGGAAAACAGACACACACACAGACAGTTATCTAAACCTGAAACTGACCTCCAGCTCTGTGGGTCAGTTTCAGTATTTCAGTTTGTTCTCATAGCTAGAATCTGGATGTACTGTTCATTGGTTCTCTGCAGAGGTGTGGACTCTAGACTCAATTTGACTAAATTAAATAAAGCCGTGCAACTCCACTTGGACTGAAACACCAACGACTTGAAACCTTGCTATTGTCCTCTAACCCCAAAGAATAACAAAGGGTATGTTTCTTAAAAGGTGTGCCACATATCAATTACTTTACTGAGCCAATTAGTGCCGTACATTCCTCAGAAGTCCTTAGCTAGAGCCGACAGCAGCCAATCAAGCTCCAGGACCGAAACATATGATGAGTGCTGGTACGAAAACAATGATACCAAAGAATCAAACAATATCTGTGCCGAGTTTAACAGAAAACTAGTTTTAGTTCATATTGACCTTTACAATTGGTGGTCCAAGTGGACTGAAATAAATATTGTTGAAAGTCACGGGTCAAAGAATAACCCGGGGGCGGGTCCGAATCACAGGAGACATTTGACTGGTACTTGTAATACATGTAGCTGATAGCGCTTCTGTGCTCTCATTGGTTTGAGTCCAAGAAATACACTCTTTTGTATTTTCACCTAAAATACTTCTGAACAAGCTAGTGTCGATTACTGTGTAACATATTAGGGCTGCAACATGTGTAACTTCTCTTTACCATATATATATCAATATATTAAAATGATCATGGTGTGATTTATTTACAAGGATCTGAACCAAACAAATATGTTTTATTAAATGTGTAGAATTCCACTTAGGCTGGAGTAACTCCTCAAAGTGGTAAAACACTGTGTTTCCTGCGATTTAAATATACTGCACTAATCCAGAGTGAGATTATGATACAAATTGGATTCATGTCTCTAAATACACCAAATATGTTATCAGGCGACACCCTACCCTTTCTCTCTTCTGTCAGTATCTTGCTTTAAAGTGAAACGTCGTGGATTAAACTATCCAAACACAAACTGCTTTGACTAACGGCCCGTCTACACTACAGGCATCGAAAAATGCTTTCAACGCTTCGCCCATTCACTTGAATGGGGTGACGTAGAAGATTTTTAATCTTCGCCGAACTGCATTGTGGGGAGCATGGCATGGCTTTGCAAGCATCACGAGCATCTATCGGCATCAGCCAATCAAATCCCGTTTATGCAAATCCCGCCAGTGCAAGCGCAGCCAATTAAACCACGTGCAAGCTGGGAGAGCCAGACCGCAGTTCATTTCCTCATATTCCAAACGAGATATTACGGTAGCAAATCACCCGGTTCTTTACGACCAGAACTATTTACCGGGATACAAACCGGAGGAACCAGGCATGGAGGGAGGTGGCAGAGACAGTGGGTGAAACTGGTAGGTTTTCCCCTGTTTGGAGAGTTTATATCCAGTTTACTTCGTTTTAACATTGCTATTGCTTGTATGTCGGGGGCGGGAGATTCATGTGATTGGTTGTTGGTCGCGTTGCTCGCAAAAAATCGCCAAGCTTCAGACACGCCCAGCTTCAAGATCTTTTGATGCCTGTAGTGTAGACGGTCCGTAAGAGTCCCTGCTCTGTCTTGTCTGGTCCTTTTGTTTTATCAAGTCCATCAGAAGTCCACACCTCTGCACGCCAGACCTGCTGTGAGATCAGCAACTCTGACATATTGTAAGACAACGTTTAAAACCTGTACATGTGTTTGAGTTCATGCAACCAATCCTGTTTCCTGGATAAATCTTATAGGCACAGAATCATAATATTTCAACACGTGCATTGTGTGGATGCCGTAGGTCACCCGTAGCACATTTAGTCTAAAGGTGTGCTTGTCCTGATGTCCCACAGAAACACACAACAGGACCCCACAGACTGTGAGTTTACCTGAGGGCGGATCCTTTGGGCGTGGCCACCCCGTAGCCTTTGGAGTCCAGGTTTCCTCCGACCTTCATGGTGTCGCAGGGCTTCCTCTGCTCGATGTACTCGTTCATGGACGACTCCAGCAGGTAGGCGTATTTCCCCTTCGACTTGCGGACGCGGCTCACGCCCTCGTTGGTGTTCTTCACGAACACGGTGGGGTCCGTGCTGCGCATGTACGACCACATCTTCTCGAAGACGGCGATCTTTGACCGCTAGGGTTAGATATTAGAGATACAAACTGATTATTAGGGTCTCCATGAGTGAGGAGTATAATAGTGTCCATTTACACTCACTGTACCAAGACCTGCTCTGATCTCATCTTTAGGGAAAACACATTTGAATATTCAGAATCTAATTAGTTCATGCCAGTGTCCAATGTTCCACTGTTACAAAGTACACATCTATCAAGTGTTCACAATGATGGTAAGTATAGAAGTTTAGACGACCTGAAACCATTAGCTGTCGTACAGAAGCCAATCCAAATGCAGTGCAAATTATAGCAAAAAATTAAATATGTAAGAATGCTTTTTTCTAGCAGCCATTTAAAGATTATCACATGTTACTTGTTAGACGCTTTTATCCAAAGAGACTAACATACTCAATACTGTGGACAATCCCACAGGAGCAATTTGGGGTCCTCAGGGACAAAGATGTCCTGATCAGACTCACGTGATCGGGATCGTGTGAGCCGATCACGTATTCAAAGATCGAATCGGGAAAGGAAAAAATCGGGATCGGGATTTTTTTTTTTAAAATACTTTTTTTATTTTGTATTCCAATGTGTGATGTTCAAGTCTTAAAGTCATCCTGAGGCCTTAGTTTTGGTTTCAAATTACACAACATCATGTATGTGTTGCTTCTTTGGGGCTTGTCTTCATAGACCTGGTTATTTCTCTCAAATCTGGCAACAGAGTGGGCGCAGTGTCAATTATTTTGTTTTGATCCAATGCTGCACAACTGAACTGATCCAATGCTGCTGTGAAAAAAGAAGCTATATCCATGTTGGATAGAATATCCAATTTAAATAAAAAGATAACCTTAGGGAAACTAATTCTTTTTTTTCTCTTAATGCATTGCATAAAGATCGGATCAGGAAAAATCGGTATCGGCAAATTGTCAAAATCAAATGATCGGAATCGGATCGGGAGCAAAAAAAGGTGATCGGGACATCCCTATCAGGGACACAACGACATGCTGACTGCAGTGGGGCTTGAACCTGTGACCCCCTGATCCCAACACCAACGCACTATCCACTGCACCACACACCTCCCATATTTAAAGATGTCACTGACACATCTGGAATGCCAGATGAGCGTCATGGCTGCCCACACTGAACACATCCCGAAAAATAAATCTTGGAGAGTCAAACTGTCACACATCTGGATGGGAATTCAAACGGTGTGTGTCCTCACCCTGAAGAACTCTTTGGTGGAGCCGCCGTCCAGCGTCCCGTAGGCGATCTCCGTCTGCTTGGCCAGGTCCTCGGAGCCCTCGATGGGCGAAACCATCCTCTCCACCGTGAGGAAGGCAGCCAGGTTAGCGGTGTAAGAGGAGATGATGATGAGGGTGAAGAACCACCACACCCCCCCCACGATGCGACCGGACAGCGACCTGACGAGACGCATCGATAACAAGCTTTAAACATTAACAAACACTTGGATCTCAACTGGTTTTGGGATAGATGATGATATTGCAACACCACTGTTTTTATATTTAAGAGTGTTTGAATACAATCAGCTTATAAAGTGGTCTCTTTGCAGATGTAATAGTGGAATATGTATTATTATTATTATGTGCTTGAAGAGTGTAGAAGCAATGATGTGTTTTTCAAAAAAAGGGGCAACCAAGTGAATATTTTGTGTTCAAACCTTTCCAGTTTCATACATGTTGAAACTCCAACATTGCAATAATGAGAAATACACACACATACATATTGACATCCTCAAACATGTAAACACACACACACACACACACACACACACACACACACACACACACACACACACACACACACACACACACACACACAGGCATAGATCAGGAATAGAAACAGCCTCAGGCGTTCACACAGCGGTAACATACAACAGGACCCGGCAGCACGTCACATTACATGTTAGCTTCATGATATGTGTGTGTGTGTGTGTGTGTGTGTGTGTGTGTGTGTGTGTGTGTGTGTGTGTGTGTGTGTGTGTGTTTGAGTGTGAGTGAGTGTGAGTGAGTGTGTGTGATGATATGTCTGAATGAATAAGTTATATACATCACTAGTGGTATATTTGTGTGTGTGTGTATCTCGCTGTTTTTGTGAGGACCGCTGTGTGTTAAGATTTCAGTTAGCTTAGCTTAGCATAAACACTGGCAGCAGTCTAGAGACACACACACATCACCCTGACAAACAATGTTGTTTTTAGATGTCTGATTATTTAGAACAAAAATGTTAAGAAGTGTTTTCCTCATTTGTAAATAGAAAAAAAAAACATGCACAAAAAAGCTAACATTTCAGAATAAAAGCCTTGTGTTAATAAATAAAGCAGTTTGTCTTCAAAAAGAATGCTGATGACTTTTATTTTGAAAATTAAATCAAATAATTGATGAATACAAAAAACACAGTTACATAAATGTACTGCATGTCTGTGAGATATTAGAGACACTGAACCTATGGTAATGTTGATGGTATACTAATACTATATATATATATATATACATATATATATATTGTTCAATGATCATGTTGTTGTGAAACTTGCTATTGGAGAAAAAGGCAAAACCTTGAAAAGACCTTTATTTCAAGCAAGACGTTTCTTCTCTACATGTTACAGTTTATAGGAGCATGGCTAGAGAATACGTTCGATTCAAAACAGGTTTTTTTTTACCAACAATCTTCAATATTTCTATCTAAAAAAAAAAATGTTTGTAATCCTTAGTTTCATGAGTGTAAAATATTCTACACATGCAGCCATTGAAGTTGTAGTAATATTGGTTGTATGATGTATATATATATATATAGAAGCTATATATATATATATACTGTAGATACAAGAATATAGCTGATACCTTATACCTCTCGCATGTTTTTTAATTGTACATTTTGTTAGAGCTTTCTATCAGAGGGCCTCATAACAAAGAACACAGTTATCAATAGATCTTAACTGCAAATGCCAAAGCAGAACTTAACAAATAGACAAATAAGAACTTGAACTAGTCGAATGACACGTTTTGACCTCAGATGCTGAGAGTGCTGTACCTGGGGGAGATGTCGCAGCCCTGCTGCATGAAGGCTCCCAGAGAGAACCACAGAGAGTTAAAGATCCCAAAGTCATTGGTGTACTCAGGAGAGTCCTTCTCCTTCTGATGGCTCTGGGTCTGAGACTGGGAGAACCCTGAGGAGCACAGCAGAACATCACTGGAGGAGGAGGAGGAGGAGGAGGAGGAGGAGGAGGAGGAGGAAGAGGAGGAGGAGGAGGAGGAGGAGGAAGAGGAGGAGGAAGAGGAGAGTCCTTCTCCTTCTGATGGCTCTGGGTCTGAGACTGGGAGAACCCTGAGGAGCACAGCAGAACATCACTGGAGAACCAAGAGGAGGAGGAGGAGGAGGAGGAGGAGGAAGAGGAAGAGGAGGAGGAAGAGGAGAGTCCTTCTCCTTCTGATGGCTCTGGGTCTGAGACTGGGAGAACCCTGAGGAGCACAGCAGAACATCACTGGAGNNGTAATAACCGACTAAACTTTTGACGCTGTTACTTAAGTTTATTTATTAAGACACAATTTTGAAAAAAAAATTTGTGTTAATGAGTGTCAGAAGACAAATCTCACAGAGTACAAATATTTAGTTTGTTGTAGTAAATTCAGTGACAGTTGGAGTACACCCGACGTACAATTGTTAGTAAAGAATCTCTAGTGTAAACAAATATTGTGGACACCCCCTTTGAAAGACAAATCGTTCCACGTCACCTCAGTGGCTGAGTACTTCCTCTGTGTGCCCTGCTCGTCCTCGGAAGACTACCAGTTTGTGCACCTACAAAATAGAATCCTCATAGCCGGCGCCTCCTAAAGACAATTGCTTGAGTCGTGTGAATCCTACATCCCTGGGTTAACGTGGCTGGGCCCTCTGTCTCATTTCATTAACCATTCTATGAATAAAAAAGTTCTATATCGTTGTTTAATTGTTGTTTTTAACCAGCATAAATTAGAGACTCGACTCTTACTGTTTTTACTCTTGTTTTCTTTTTGTTGAGTGCATCACTCCTAGTTTGAATAGTTCTTGTGTTTTCTCGTATCTGGACCTGACATCGTTCTCTGTTCCTATGCTGTTGGGTCTTCGTTTCGTGTCAGGTATTTACCCCACAGAGCCCGCCTGCTGGGTCCCCGTTCCGTCTCAGTACGCTTCAGGAGCCCGCCTGCTGGGCCCCCCGTTTCGTCGTCTCAAGGTACCACCTCGGTGAAGCCCCGCCTGCCGGGCCCCCGGTTCCGTGGTCGTCAAGTACCACCTCAGGAGCCGACCCCCTTGAGTCCTGTCCGTCTGGCCGGAGCATCCCGCCTTTCAAGGGCAGGAGAGACACTATAGAAGTCCTCCGGACCCGTCCCGGCCGGACCTTGGGGCCGCCCGGTCGACGTCTACTTGGGACTGCGTTGTACTGTAATCCCAAACGTCATAGAGAGGGCCGTCTTCTCGTCAGCCGCCCCTAGGGGTTGCCCATGTCCTGTAACCTCAACCGTCCTGGGGCTGCTTTGTCCAGCAGCCGACCTAGGAGCGTTGCAGTGTCCTGTATCCCGACCGTCCTGGGGGTCGTCTTCTCGTCCAGCCGACCCCGAGGTTGCCAGTGTCTTGTGGTCCTAACCGTCCTGGGGCTGTTCTTTTCATCAGCCGCCCCCGGCAGGTTCGCCATGTCCCGTATCCCGACCGTCCTGGGGACCGTCTTCTCATCAGCCCGCCCGGCAGGTTGCCGTGTCTGTATCCCAACCGTCCTGGGGGCCGTCTTGCTCATCAGCAGCCCGGAGGTTTGCCGTGTATGCATCCCCAACCGTCCTGAGGCGCGCTGTCTTTTCGGTCAGCCGCCCCGAAGGTTGCCGTGTCCTTGTGTACTAACCGTCCTCGGGGGGTCGTCTTCTCATCAGCCGCCCCGGAGGTTGCCGTGTCCCGTAATCCCGACCGTCCTGGGGACCGTCTTTCTCATCAGCCGCCGCCGGAAGGTTGCCGTGTCCTGTATCCCAACCGTCCTGGGGACCTACAACTTGTCATCAACAGCCCCGGAGCGGTTGCCGTGTCATGTAATCCCAACCGTCCTGGCGGGACCGTCCTTTCATTCAGTAGCCCGGAGGTTACCGTGTCTGTCATCCCAACCGTCCCTCGGGGTCGCCCTTGTGGTTGCCTGGTCCTGTAACGCCATCCCTGAACTCTACTCCTTGAGCTCTCGTGCGGAGCTCTCCCTTGAGCTCTCCTCCTGAGCTCTCCACTGAGACTTCCGTGAGCTCTCATACTGCTTTACCTTGAGCTACTCCCTGAACCCACAAACATATCTCACCCATTGAGCTACATCCCTTGAAAACACTCTCCTGAAACTCTACCATTGAACCTCTCCCGACTGAAACTAATACAAACACTGAACTCTCCCGAAGAGGCTCTCTGAACATCTCCATGAACTACTCCAGTCCATGACTACTCCACTGAGCTCTTCTGCCGCTCCTCCCTGGCCACTCGCATCATGGCAATCTAATTTAAATGAAGGAAAAAGGAATACCAAAATGATTATGTTTTGCTCTTCAAGTGCACCTATCATGCTATTTTTAGGCAATAGCATAGGTCTCAGATATATACAAATATAAAAAAACAATGTCTATGAAGTGTTTTGCTCAAAATACCAAACAGATCACTCATTCTAGCCATGAATCCCTCTATTTCACTTCCTGTTTCAAAAACGCTGATTTAGGATATAAAGCTTTAAAAAAAAGAATTGATAGAACATAAAAAAGGAGGGGGCGTGAGCTCATGCGGGACCAGGCAGATACTGTCTAAACTAAATATTGCCGTGATGAAACGCCATATCATGGATTATCAAGGATTATTTCTGAAACAGTATGGAGCTCAAAGGCTTTCTCTCTTGCGGGTTATACCACAGGGTGAGTTCCTTTTTATTTCCTGCTTCTTCACACACATGCTCTCTCCAGTACAGGTTAGCTCTGAGTGTTAACGATGCTAATGTGACACCGACCATATTACGTCCAAAACAGTCGGGCATTGTTTCTGATAGCAACTTTCTGATAGAGCCGTGGGTCCACATTTCCGATATCACGTCATATCGGACGCAAATCTGGATCAGCTCCGTTGTACCCCCGTTTTTAGAGATTTGGGTACGGAGGAAAAGAGAAAGGGTTTTATTTTCTGACGCTGCGTGAGTTCCCTGAAACACCGGGGACACATATTTATGTATAAAACGCATAAAAAAGTGCATTTTGCATGATAGGTCCCCTTTAACATCTCAAAAACAATAAATGAATAAAAGGTTCTGATTAAACAAAGTGGCTTTATACACCTAGGTGAAAATAGCCACTTTCTCGATGGCAACTACTGACACCGCGTGTAAATAGCATTGTTGGATGCAAATGAATGCATCTGGGTGCAAATCAGACTTAGAGTACTCACACACTGATGGACTCAAACTCGGACTCTCAAGTTTTGCCTCAAGTCCGGATGTACTTAGCCCCAGGTGTTTGCAGCTGCGATGCGATTTCCTTTACCTATATAAATATATATATATAATATAATCCACTCAGATGAATACATGATGACTCAGACTTGGAATCTGACTCGAGCACAAGTAATGATGACTCGGACTTGGACTCGACTCGGACTGTAAGAGTGGGGACTCGAGAGGGACTCTGACTTGAGAATTGGTGATTCGACTACAACTCTGGTGCAAAAATTATATATTATATACACAATTCACAATAAATCATTTTTTTTCGCCTCTTGTGGACGAAATTATTATACAACAAAGACCCAGAAAAAAGGTTGCTGCATAATAACCTTTTTTTTCATGTTGAAAACATTTTGTACAGATCATGAACAATGTATGGCACTTTACCCTAGCAACAACATCCACCAAGGGCTTCCACACAGTCACAGCAACCAATGACATGATGCATATTTTCTTTTGTCATATCTTTAGTTGGCAGCAAATCTACCACAACACGAAAGAAAAAAGCTATTGTGTTACATCACTGCTGAACCGGTCCTCTAAGCTAAATACTCATTGTGCTTAATGACTCCCCGAGCAACTTAACTCATTATATTTGTACTGCAGTGAATGAAGCTAGGCCCCTATAGAGGCATATGCCAATCCATGCCCTACTATCAAAGGAAAAGGTCAATTACAGTTGCGTGTCCAAGGACTCTCTATCATAGCCTGACCTTTAGCTTCATGTGCCACGAAAGTCACAAGAGCCCCATCCAAATGTCACATGTTTCTGATTCCCAATGCTTTGGATTGTTTACCGTGTCCAATTGGTAGTGATTCGGTATTTGATTTAATAGAAAGCAGAGGTAAAAAAGAGTTGCAACTAACCCCCAGATTTCTGGTAGTTTGTTCCAGACAGAAGGAGCATAAAAACCAAATGCTGCATCTAAATGTTTTGTTCTGACTGGGGGCAGAGAGCAGAAAGGTCCCAGAAGACCTGAGAGTTCTGGATGGTTCATTCATGTAGCAGGAGGTCAGAAACATATGTTGGCCCTTAACCATTCAGAGCCTTATAAACCATCAGCAGTATTTTAGAGTCTTTAACATACAGGAAGCCAGTGTAAACACTTCTGAACTGGAGTGATTTGATCCACTTTCTAACGGTACGTCCACACGGTTCCGTTGCGTGCTTCAACGAAGACGCTTCCCATTCACTTTGAATGGGGTGACGTGACGCTTTGCCGAACTGCATTGTGGTTCTGTCGCGTCGCTTTGCCTCCGTTGCTCGCTTCGAAAGTTGAGAAAAGTTCAACTTTTCAAGCGTAGACGCAAGTGCCAGCCAATCAAATCATATGCCAGTACAAGGGCTAGCCAATCAAACCGTGTGCTTGTGTGTCCGGGGCGGGAGATTAATGTGATTGGTTGTTGTCCGCACGCCAGACACGCCCACCGGCAAGCTTCAACGCGACGGAACCTTGTGGACGTTACGTTAGTGTTAGTGAAGACTCGAGCAGCAGCATTCTGAATAAGCTGCATCTCACTTTTTTTTTATGGAATAGATTTTTTTGTGAGACCTGTAAACCACCATACCAGCAGTCTACTGAAGATAAATCAATGGACACGTTTTTCCAAATCCTGCAGAGACATAAGTCCTTTAATCTTAGACACAGTACATTGTTACGTGATAGTATGCTGTCTTTGTAATTGTCATAATGTGATTGTTGAAATTCAGGTGCGAGTCCATGACCTCAAAACTGTACTTAAATAAAATATTTGATAATATAAATCCCACCACTCTAACATGTTTCATTAGGTTGAATATAAACTATAAACCAAGGCTATGATATACTCTCCCTTTTTGCTTTCTTTCAGTAAATATCCTGACTTATTTGGATATTTTTTCATCAACCTTCAGAATGTATTATTATTACAAATAAATTCAATTTTAGTAATAATCTCATACTGAGTAAAACAAAACCTTGAGGGGTCCATTGCTGTTATCGGTCTGCTGCAGGAAAATGACAGCACTGGTCATTTATTCAGACACCTTAATTATTTCCTATTTACATTTTGTGGATAAGAAACCCCTTGTAGTTGTTTGAATAATCTTTCAGAAGCAGCAAAACCTTTTAGGAGCGGGTTAGGGTGGATGGAGCAGGAATTTGAATATTACGCATGCTGTCATGGTCACGTGTTGTTGATCAAAACTGTCAAGTTCTTCCGGGTTGTGGCCTATATTGACAGCACTCTCACAGAATAAGGCAACAGATCAAGTACGCAACACACAATAAAAAACGGAGAAAAATACCAACGGCGTCTCTGAAGCCTCACACACACTGGGTGTTTCTCAATGTCGAAGACGCTTGCTTGGTAGCACATGTCTTCCGAGTCACTTCCTTCAGAAGCGAGGCAAGAATCCTTCCTAGCCTCGGAAAACAAAGAATTGTGGAGCAGGCTAACAGGTGCGCGAGGCCCCATCTTAAATGTAGCGCTATTTCCGCGAAAAGATTTGAAAATTGATCCGTGCGCAAAGCATTGTGACGATTTTAAGATCGCGGAGTCTAGACATGTGCAGCCTCAAAATTTCTCGCTACGAAGTACGCCGGCCTCGGTAGAATTCCGAGTATGCTGGACAGTGGAACAGTCCTTCGGCGGCACTCGATGACGTAGTATGCTTGAAATAGTGGCTCTGGAGCTGCCTTCCTCGACATTGAGAAACACACATTGTCGCCAACTTCTCCCTCCTTGGCTTTGGGAACAAGACCGCCCATCATAATTCCTGCCTCTTTTGTTGTCCGTGTTACCGGAGCGGCATTAATATTTTT